AGAGAGAGAGAGAATTTTTAATATTTATTTTTAGTTCTCTGCGGACACAACATCTTTGTTGGTATGTGGTGCTGAGGATCGAACCCGGGCCGCACGCATGCCAGGCATGGCGCGCTACCGCTTGAGCCACATCCCCAGCCCCTATAAACATATTTTTAACTTCATGAGAAACTGCTGAACTGTTTTGCAGAGTGCGAGTTTATTTCTTTTTCACAGCATTGAGGGTTCACTATGGGTAGGAATGGCATCGGGTAGGGTTGAGTAGTTCAGATAAGACACAGTAGGACTCACAAATCTTAAATACCTGTTATTACAGAAAAATTTAGTTTGTTCTTCTAAGTCTGTGGCCCACAGCAACTCATAATCTGGTTGTGCTAATTTTATAAGAAACTTAATGGAGTCTTCTGCGGTCAATAATCAACAGCACAATTATAAGATTGGTTGTTTATTTAAACATGTAATAAAAATTTTGCTCTTGAAATGGAGAGAAATAAAGTGTTTTAAGTGTGTTGGAAACGGTTTTATGAATGCTATATACAAAACATGCAGGTTTTCATTTTGTTGTAGTTATTGAAAATTGAGTTCTGCATTAAAAAGGGTAAAGATGTCCCCCAAGGGGCTGGGGCTACATAGCTCAGTGGTAGAGCACCTGCCTCGCACATGGGAGGCTCTGGGTTCAATTTTCCGCACCACATAAAAATAAAGATATCGTGTCCATCTACACTAAAAAAAAAAAAAAAAAAAAAGATGTCCCGCAAATCACTGTATTTTCACACGCTGCTGTACATATAATCTGTCCCATATACACAAACAACAAACAGTACCAGGTGTTCTAGGATGGGAAACTGCACTTTCCCACCCTAGGAGGCAGCTCTTGGTACAGCGCGCAAGGCTGTACGTCTACAAGGCCAAAGTTCAGTTGGTGCCGGGCATGCGCAGCCGGCCGATTGGACGCCGGCCTTTGCGGAGGGGCGGGACTAGATTCGGCGTCTTTCCTTCCAACCGCAGCTTGTGGCAGCGCCATTTTGAATGTGCGGCTGCCGCGGGCGTTAGTTCGGTAGGCAGGTCTGCGGGCTCGGGCTTCCAGCAGTTTCCTTACTTTCTCTGCTTCGTTTCCATAGATACATGTAGAGACGTATACATACATACATCTAGGCCTGTATCCGGTGTTTGAGGCGAACTCCTTAAGATGATGTTAAGAGGAAACCTGAAGCAAGTGCGCATTGAGAAAAACCCGGCCCGTCTACGCGCGCTTGAATCCGCAGCCGGCGAGAACGAGCCGGTGGCCGCGGCGGCCATGGCGCTGGCGCTGGCGGGAGAGCAGGCACCGCCTGCCCCAGGGCCCCCGGAGGACCACCCGGAGGAAGAGATGGGGTTCACCATTGACATCAAGAGTTTCCTCAAGCCGGGTGAGAAGACGTACACTCAGCGTTGCCGCCTCTTTGTAGGGAATCTGCCCACCGACATCACCGAGGAGGATTTCAAGAGACTCTTCGAGCGCTACGGCGAGCCCAGCGAGGTCTTCATCAACCGGGACCGTGGCTTCGGCTTCATCCGCTTGGTGAGTCTCGGGCCGCCGGCCCAAGGGAACAAAAGGGCGGTGGGATGTCCGCGGGGCTTCGCTTGTCCAGAACGGCCTCTCTGTGGATTGTGACCGCCCGGGTACCCTGCTCGGTGTGGTGGCCTCTGCTTCGCGCCGGTTGGGCTTTGCAGGCCTACTGTCGCGCGCTAGATCGTTACGGTCAACCCTGCCTGAACGGGTAGCCTCCGGTACCTGGGGGATCGGGGTCGCGGGGACCGACGGCGTTTTCGGGTGACAGTTCTTCGAGGCACAAATATGTTGTGAAGAAAATGTATTTGGAACGGAAGCTTCGGTTTGGCCAGAAATTTGGGTTTGAAGGAACAAACGACTTGCTTCTTAAAGACTTACCCAAAACATCCCTTTGCCTTCAACAAGCCCTGCACGCATTTTACAGCAAACCCCGTTAATACTCACCTCAGTGCAGCCCTCTCTACCTTACCCTTGCAGGTGCCTAAACTCTGTACTCGAGTATCACTGTTCCACCTGCAGTGATTGGTTAGTATTGGATTGTATTCTAATATTGTTTTTCCACCCGACTTTTGGAGGTTCCTGTGTTTTGGTGGGGGAGGTCGGCCAATATACTACATTATAGTTGAGTTATTTGTCCTGCAGTAGGATATTATGTGTCTTGCCCCCTTTAAATCTAAATTTTGAAAAATTTTCCGATAACATGCAAAAATTGTGCCTCCTTCTTATTCTAAAAAGCTTTGACAGTTTGCACTCAGGACAAAGTATTTGTTTTTCTTAGGTTTTCCTTTGTTTTGTGGTGAGTTCATCAGTTGCAGTCATACAGCATTATTGTCATTCATATTTAGATACTGTTTTTTCTTCAATCAAAATCTTTTTTAGGAGACATTTTACACGTAAGACTTTTTCCTGTTATCTTTCTAGTTAGACCCTCACTCTAATATTCATTGCAGTTTATGGAAGCTGTCTTATTGGAACTTGAACTTTCAAAATCGATTTCTCTTCATATGTGGACAAAGTAAAACTTAATATGTAGAGAAAATTTATTGTATTCTTAAATACTTAAGTGGCTCCAAGAGAAGATAATTAGTTACAAGGTATGAATAAAAAACAATATTTCCTTGGAATTTAAATAATCAGTACATTTTGAACATATATTTATCTTTTGTACAGTAGAGAAGCAGCCTGTCACTTGGTAAAATTCTTAATGTAAATGCAGAAGTTTGGGGATGTAGCTCAGTAGAGCACTTGCCTAGCATGCCAGAGGCCTTGAGTTCCATCCCCAGCATCACAAAATAAAAAAATGAAGTACTGTAAGCAACTTTTGATAAAGTTTCCAAAAGGATTTTATGTAATATTTTCGTGATCCTTAGTCTCTTGCTTGCAGTGTCTTATTCTGAAGTTGATATTTTGGAGGAGGAAGAATGGAAGGACTACATTTCCCTGTTTTGAAAGCCTTTACAGGACCAATAAATATTTTGACATTGGAAAATCTTTTTGTTTCTTTTTTTAACTTATTTTTTACTTTTAGTTGTAGATGGACACAATACCTTTATTTTATTTTTTATTTTTGTAGTGTTGAGGATTGAACCCAGTGCCCCACATATGCAAGGCAAGTGCACTACCAACTGAGTCACAATCCCAGCCCTTCTTTTTGTTGCTTATCTTTTATCTTCTTAATAATAGACAATTCCTTCCTTCCTTCCTTCCTTCCTTCCTTCTTTCCTTCCTTCCTTCCTTCCTTCCTTCCTTCCTTCCTTCCTTCCTTCCTTCCATCAGCACTGCCCAGTAGAAATTTCTGCAATGATATAAAGGCTGTTATATATCTGTACTGTCCAAAAGAGTAGTCACTAGCCACATGTGACTGTTGAGCACTTGAATGAGGCTAGGAGGGCTGGGTAGTGCAGTTTGAATGGTACTGGAAATTGAACCCAGGGGCACTTTACCACTAAGCTATATCCCTATCTCATTTTTAATTTTGATTTTTTTAATGAACTTAATATTTATTATTATTATTATTTTTTTTAGTTTTCGGCGGACACAACATCTTTGTTTGTATGTGGTGCTGAGGATTGAACACTGGGCCGCATGCATGCCAGGCGAGCGTGCCACCCCTTGAGCCACATCCCTAGCCCCCATTTTTAATTTTGAGACCGGGTCTCACTGAATTGATTAGGGCCTCTCTGTAATTGTTGAGGCTGGCTTTGAACTTGTGATCTTCCTGCCTCGACCTCCTCAGTTGCTGGGATTACAGGCCTATTCCACTGTCCTGGCTCTTAATTTAAATAGCCAAGTATGGCTAGTGTATGGGCCAGCACAGTTTATTCAATGTACTTTTAATACTGTTCATTTTTTAAAAAATCTGGGATTAGGAGGTGAGTAGGGTTGCTGTTGACTGCTCTTTTGAATTATACTCCTCCAAACATAGCACACTAATTTTTTTTGCATACAATTAGTAAAGTTTTGTCTGTTGGAAGCCAGGATTTAGTTTATAGAATTTGACTTTATAGATAGCTTTACAGTTTAATGTGAATTCTGTTTGTAAGATGTAAATTTAAAAGGTTTATTTCTGAACTATTATTTTTTCTACTTAGAAAAATCATGTAATGTATACTAGATCTGAATAAACATATATGACATAGTGGCTTTTTAAAATAAGGGTGTAATTTTTTTAAGCATATAAAGCAAGGTTTATTAAAAAAGGGGTAACAGACTTCTCCTGGGAGGAAGAAGGGGGCCATGGCTGGTATCCTGGTATCCCCAAGGGTTTAATAACTGGTTTGTTTCTTGAAATAATTTATTCAGTAACTGATCTTTAAATTACAAATAAACTAGTAGTTGTAGTATTCCAATTCGTAGAAGAAAACATTTTCCGATATAGCATAGGGTCAGCATTGCTAGTATTGAGTGGTGGAGAAACAATTTGTTTCTTACACATATGGTCCTAATCCAAATTGTTAGCATATGGTACATTAGAGATGAAATAGATTGTTTTAGACATATTTTATTGTGGAATTTTAGATTTTGGTTATTTATTGATAATTTTAGACTGGATAGATCTGAAAAGTTGTACATTTGTTTTTTAAAGTTAGTTTTTTGTTTCTTTGTTTTCCATAAAGTGTTGGGACTTTTCAGTTACCTCGCCCTAAACTCTATAGTGATGCTCTAACACAGCCTGGTTGAAGAAGGCAACTGAAGTTAGTTTGATTTACCTAAAACTGGTATTAGTTTGGCCTGAACTTTTGTTTTTATCCTAATAAAACAGATTTATCAAATGGTGGTTCTTGACTAGTATATTTATTTATTTATTTATTTAAATTTACTTTTTAGTTTTCAGCAGACACAACATCTTTGTTTGTATGTGGTGCTGAGGATCGAACCCAGCGTCCAGCGCATGCCAGGCGATCACGCTACCACTTGAGCCACATCCCCAGCCCAGACTAGTATCTTTAGATCTTTTCCTGGACTAAGCAGAGGCTGCTTAAATTGTTTCCCCCGCAATACGTGCTAGCCTTGGTGACCTTATACCTCCTCAAGTAATCTCACCGTATCTATTAGCTGAGACTCAGTTAGATGTGTGAATACTAGGGCCCCAACCCAGATCTACTGAATCAGGAAGTTCTGGGAGTGGGGCCCAAATATCTTGTTTTAAGTAACCCTCTGTGTTATTCTGATGCTTGTCAAGTTTAAGAAGCCAACTTTTCTAGGAAACCACTTAAAGTTAAAAATCAACTAAATTTACTTTTAGTCAGTCATTAGGTACTTAGCCCCCATCTGCCTCTTTTTTTTTTTTAGTTATGAAATGATAGATGTTAATATTATAGATTTGTTATATAGAATGTACTTTGTATAATTTTTAGTCATATTGTATTTCAGGAAAGTGTGAGAGTGGTAGTCTTTCTTTTTCTTTTTCTCTTTTTTAAAATTTTTTTGGTGGTACTAGGGATTGGACCCAGGACCTTGTGATGCTAGGCGAGCCCTTTTTCTTTAAATTTATTTTTATTGGGGATTGAACCCAGGGGCATTTTGCCACTGAGCTGTATCCCCAACCTTTTTTATTTTGACAAGGTTTCATTAAGTTAGTGAGGATCTTACTAAGTTGCTGAGGGTTGCTTCAAACTTTTGATCCTCTTACCTCATCTTCTGGAGTTCCTGGGATTACAGGCATTGCCAAGGTGCCTGGCTCAGGAGAACTCTTATTTTTTCTGTGTGTGTATGTGTGTGTGTGTGAGAGAGAGAGAGAGAGAGAGAGAGAGAAAGAGAGAGAGAGAGAGAGAGAGAAAAGACACAAGGACTGGGAATTAAACTCAGGGGTGTCCTGCCATTAAGCTATATCCCCAGTCCTTTTTATTTGTTATTTTGAGACAGGTTTGCCTAAATTGCCTAGGCTGGCCTAAAACTTGAAATCCTCTTGTTTCTGCCTTTCAGGTAGCTGGCATTATATGTGTGTGCCACTGTGTCTCTGTTAGACTTCTGTTGTTGTTTTTTTTAATATTTATTTATTTTTAAAATATTTTTTTTTAGTTGTTGATAAACCTTTATTTATTTATAAACGGTGCTGAGAATCGAACTCAGTGCCTCACACATACCTGGCAAGTGCGCTACCGCTGATCCACAGCCCCAGCTCCTAATATTTATTTTTTAGTTGTAGTTAGACACAATACCTTTATTTTTATGTGGTGCTGAGGAATGAATGAACCAGGACCTCTCATGTGCTAGGCAAACACTCTACTGCTGAGCCACAACACCAGGCCTGTTCATTAGACTTCTAATGATAGTACAACATCTTTTCTCTCTAGTATACTTTCTAAAAGATGATTATTATTAACTTGGTGCAATTTTTCTTTTGGTACTGGAGCATAAGCCAGGGGTACGGGGCACTTTACTACTGAATTACACCCCCAGTCTTTTTTTTTTTTTTTTTCAGAGAGAGAATTTTAATATTTATTTTTTTTTAGTTTTCAGCGGACATAACATCTTTGTTTGTATGTGGTGCTGAGGATCGAACCCGT